CTGTTTGCGAACAGTAATCTAATCTGAATCTACCTCTACTCTTCTTAATTCCTATTTCTGTCTCTAATATGTCTCTGACTAGCCCTTCATGCCTGTACTTCCCCGCATATTTATTATTGACTTCCGTAGAGTCCTTTGTTCTCCTATTCCTTCTAATACCACTTCATTTCTAACCTTCTCTATCCACGATATCCTCATCTTTCACCGGTAACACTTCTAACCTTTTCTTTTCCGCCGCGCACACCGTCCATGTTTCACACCCGTACAACGCCGCGCTCCAAACAAACCCTGCGCTATCCTCTGCTTTATATCCCTACTACTCCTTCCCTCCTAACTTATCTGACTTCCTAAACACCGAAAAACTGTCACTTCTTCTAATTTTTCGTCTCCTACCTTTATATTTGCTCTTTTCCTACTTTTTCTTTCCTTGCATACTAGTATTTTTGTTTTACTTTTATTTATTTTTGACGTGACAACGTCTTATAATTCGATAGAGCCGGCTGCACGCACGAAAAAACATGACTCATGCGGCGTTACCTCGCTCTGAGGCGTTCCATTTAAGGCTTGAAGTGCAAGCGAGAGCGCAGAACAAGCGACAAAGAGGCACAATCGGCCTCCGCGTTCGGCAGCATTAGACATCTGTCTCTCTCCTACTTGAGTGAGCGATGCGTCCGCGTGGACAGCTGCTATACAATAATACATTTCCATTTACCTCCTTCTCTATATCCATACAAAATATCTATCAAACAAATAAAATTAAAATTTTCTTTTGAAAAATGAAACCATTTAATCAGTATTTTCTTATGACGTTGTCACGTTCAACTATCGTCAGTAAACCGACTTTACAGACAACCGATTTTTTTTTAATTATATAATATTTATTTTGGCGCGTTAACAGTAAAATTTTAGCATGCAACGGAAGTTACGTCACATAATGCGACAGTAATTGAGCGCGCATCACAGTTGATTATATCTATCAATTCTATCAATTGTAATCGAAAACCTTGATTATATATTAATAATTCCTATACGTACACCGACTAATTATATATATACATATGTATAAACGATGTACATACAAATTTTAATTAAAAATTATACTTCTTTAACGAAGGTACCTACTACATTTTGTACAAATTTCGTAAACAAATATCAGAAATCGTGCCTTTTGGAATTCGGTAATTAAATTTTCTACCTCTGATGTAGCGTCCACACTTTCATCCGAAAGGATTAAAATATTTTCTCGATGTTTACTCAAAATAGCACCCGATATCGACCCCAATTACCAACAGATTCAAATGGCGATTGAATGTGAAATGTGAAGATTGAATTTTTGCATCAAAATATCATCATTCATAACGTATTGTTATTATATTGGATATCATTTCAAAAAGCATCGTTGAATTAATGAATTCAATACGTACTGAATCCTGAAACTTACAAACCTAGCTATCAAGTTGAAATTTACCGCAAGTAAAACTGCGAAAATTATTTTGGCTTTCAATTTTAATGAAAACTGTAAAATACTTTCAAAGATAGTATATCAGTTCTTAAGGGAATGCCATTACATGTAGTTGATAAAAGAAACTTTCAGTGGTCTTATTTAGAGCATTTCGAGTATTAGAAAACTTTAACACTTAACAAAACAAATACAAAATTCTTGGTGTGGGAAATTCTGATACGTATTTTCTTATTTTCTCTAAAAAAAATACCAACTTCGCTAATGCAAGACGTGTTAAAACTTTGCCATAATTTTTTAGCGAAGGCACGAATAACTTTCTTCTAAAGTGCTAAAAAAGACAATCCGTTCACGACAAATAAATGGAGAGAAACAACGTGTGCAGCATGTGAAAATCGACAGCATTCCTTTGATGATCGATTAATTTAATTGAAAAACGTTTCGACAGCACACGATGTTGTTATAATGGACGAGGTAGCAATTATATTTCGAATTTGCCTTGTTATTTTGCGAAGTAATTATTTGTTGAGCTTATGTTTATTTATTTCTATTCGACAAATACAATCAATGCTGTCTGAAAGTTGAAAACAAAACTTTTGCTTGCGGCGCTACTCCCTCTCCAGTACGTAATTTCGTAAACGTAGCCTGTGGGAATTGGAAAAGTTGGCTAAAGCCTAGGGTAATTAAACTGAAACAGATGCATTTCTACAGTGGAGTGCCTCCAGTGCATTTGTACGTTGCTACGTTTGCTGTTAGATTTCAGTTTAGAGGGACAGATAAGGATCTCTAATTCATACTAGATAAAATCGATATAATATTGCCGATAACGGCGAGATGCGACGATTGCAATAGTTTCCGTACAAGCTTGCCTTTTAGCCGGTGCATGCATTCTGTCAAACTTTTTCGCAAACGTCACGTTGACTGTGTCATCGGGCTTATTGGCGAAAACGCCAAACTTTTCCATTCTGTTTACACAGCCAGCGATAAAGTTTTTAATGAGATGCAGACCTGACTGTCACTTCATTGGCAAATTCAATTCACCATTGTTTTCCTACTATTCATTATTTTTTTTAATGAAAGTTGCCAAACAAAGAGCAGCGGATCGTAAATATTTACACGAAAATGTACAAAATAATAGTATATCTACATGACATTATTCGAACAAAATACTATATATCGTGCCATTTTTATTCGTACATTGTCGTTTTGTTGCTGTTTTTCGGCTATTTTACTTCTCAACTATTAATACATTCTTGATACCGGCGGCCATTATACTTTTCAATTGTTAACGTATTGTTGCTGTTAGCGGCCATTATACTTTTCAATTGTTAACGTATTGTTGGCGCTGGCGGCCATTATACTTTTCAATTGTTAACGTATTGTTACCGCTGGCGGCCATTATACTTTTCAAATGCTGACCTATTGTTGCTGATGGCGGCCATTACAGTCCATCTGAATAGTCTACAATTTTGCTGCAACTATCGAAAAGGACAAAACTAAAACATGGATCAAAAGATCTCAAATGAAAAACTTCAGACTTCCAAGTTAAATGACATTCTGCTACACTTTTACTTAATTTCCTTTCAAAATCCGTTTATAGAGTAGATTAGAGTTTTGCCCATAAATATCCAGAAGGATACTAATTATTACTATAAAATGATTTTCCTTATAATTGAAACAATGTATTAATTACCTACACCATTAGCTACTCAACTGTTGTGATTTATACATTCAGATGTAATCGTTTGTTTCGTGTTGAACTATTAAAATGTAAATATTCTTTGCAATTCCTGTAAAAGCTATAGAAATGTCGGGCTGACCTTTGCGTTCATTTCAAAGTATTTGCACATTGATTTTAAATTAACCCCTGCCCTATGTGAATGTCAATAAATATTTCATTCGGTCTTTTTAACAACGGAAAAGTTCAAACAAATATTTCCGTTTATTCACATTTTAATTATAATTTGGCAAACATTCAAAAATAGAAAGTAAGTGAAATAGTAAATTCATTTAAAACCATTGAGAGAAATGCAATAAATCCGGCAACACCTTTCAGGGTAGATTTCACACGGAACGTGACGTCTTTTGTCGAGAATTAATTAATAATTGAATTGAAATGCTAAAAGCGGAGCTGTACTGTCTTCATCAGGAATGTGGGAGTATTCTCAGATGTACCTTATCCTTAATTCGGTCGCCTTGGAACCGATGAGGTGCATTGCTGTCTAGTTTATTTTTGCTAAATTGCCTCGAGGTTTTTAACGAACTCAAGGACCTCAGCAAGCTGAGTATACTTCCAGCTGTTTCCACACACACAAGATTCTAATTCATACGTACATACATATATGTTATGCTGCATTAAAAGGAAATACATATGGAACATATGTAAAACAAAATTTTAAAACAGTGTCAAGAAAAGGATGTTTTAAAGGAGAAGCCCTATATTGCGCATGAACACCGCAACGTTTGTCCCGCTTCTTCGTAATAAGGGAACAAGCACCATTGCGGTTGTTGAATCCCTAAAGCATCCTTGTGGTCTACGTGTATGAAAACTTTAATAACTTTTTTATATAACAGACCGTTCATGATAGGCATTAGATTGGAACGGATATCTGCGTCCGCAACTGCGGATGTTCTGCAGGAATTTTAAATCCGGATACACGTTAAAACCCTAATAAGAACAAAGAATACTCAATAAAGTAAAAAATAGGACACCCTACAGCTATTGAGTAGTATTGTTACAGATAATATTCGTAGGAGCATAATATACATTCGAAAACGCACCCTACAAGACTCCCAATATCTGACGTCATGCGCAGACTTGAACGAATTTTTAACTTGTGCGCATTATATCTTCTTTGTATCATAAGAATGAAATACGTTAGGAAACATGAGAGAGATTTTAATAAAGACTTATAAAGGATCTTATATATGAGGATTGCATTGTAATATTTATCCGAATTTTAATGTTTACCTTTGGCATTATATTCAAGCAAGATTTTTATTAAAATCGGATATTAGGTATATAGAAGGGCCTGTCTTTTCACATATATTTAAGTTTGATGAAGTAGAAGAAGATTTTCTCGGTGCTCTGCCGCTCATATTATTTTATTGCATCGAAATTCCCCTTAGGTCTCTTCTATTCTGCATACTAAATCCCATCCTTTTGATAAAATTACTTTAGGATCCTTTCAAAATCAAGAAATAAAGCAAATCTTCGCAGTCTTTTAAAATGTGCCTTACGATCTAATATATTAGGTTTATTTCAGACAGAACCACTTAAGTAGATTACTTTTTCGCCATCACCTCTTCCACTGCACATATGTCTCGGGAAGATAAAGAAGGAGAGATGTATAAATTCCCCCTGATAGTCGCTACACATATAGAGGCAGGTGATGCGGCGTGAAACAAAAAAGTTTGAAAACAATTTCCACTAAATGTTTTCTAAATGCGTGCGATGATAATTAAATTTGCGAACACGCGCAGTAATGAACAGAACGTGGATATAAATTTAAATAAATTGGGGATGAATTTTAGTACTTACCAACAGTGTGTGGATTCTCTCAATATAGGAAAAGTTCTTTTCGAAAATCAAGAATTGGATGTGGACAAAACCTGTAACAAAGAAACACTTGAAACTTGAAATAAATCTCAACGTCCTCATTCATTTCAGAAATTCAATTATGCTAACTAAGCTAACAAAATTATTTCTATTCTTTTAAATATAATAACTGAACATAATGTCTAAAGTAAAATTACGAATATAAAAGTCTTGGAACAACCATCATCATAAAGTCATCAGTCCTAAGACTGGTTGGACACGCACCTCCACACTTTCCTATCCTGAGCTAATCTTCGCATTTCCCTAAAACTATCGGGTTGTTCGGAAAGTCATTTCGTTTTTTTTTGTGGAAATGAAAGACAGTTTTCGTAAAATAAACAAATACTTTATTAAATTATATATTGACCGTTCTGGTCCAACACCTTTTGCCATCTTTCTGGTAGTAGCATAATTCCACGCTCATAAAATTTTTGGTCTTTGCTGGCAAAAAACTGATCGAGGAGGTTTTTGACCTCCTCATTTGAGGTGAAGGTTTTACCGTCTAAAAAATTTTGGAGTGACCGGAACAAATAATAATCCGATGGTGCCAGGTCTGGAGAATATGGTGGGTGTAGCATTGTATCCCATTCAAGCTGTAAAAGCTTTTGGCGAGTGACCAAACTTGTGTGAGGTCTCGCGTTGTCTTGGTGAAACACTACACCTTTCCTGTTGATTAGTTCTGACCTTTTCTGTTGAAGTGCATCATTCAGTTTGTCCAGCTGATGACAGTAGACTTCCGAATTAATCGTTGTGTTATCCGGTAAAAGCTCAAAAAAAACGATTCCTTTAAAATCCCACCAAACAGACAGCATCACCTTTTTTTGGTGAATATCGGCTTTGGAAATGGTTTGAGCCGGTTCATCTTTTTTGCTCCATGACCTCTTGCGTTTGACGTTGTTGTATACAACCCATTTTTCGTCCCCAGTGATGATGCGCTTCAAAAACGGATCATTTTCGTGACGTTTGAGAAGCGAATCGCAGACGTCAATGCGGCGACACAGATTTCTCTCTGTGAGAACATGGGGAACCCATACATCGAGCTTCGAGGATAATCCCAGGCCTTTCAAGTGGTCATAAACTGTTGAATTTGATAAATTTAACCTCAATCCGATCTCACGTGTTGTTATTCGCCGGTTCACATCAACTAATGCCTTTATCGCGTCTTTATCAGCTTCAACCGGCCTTCCCGAACGTGGTGCATCTTCGACATCAAAATTGCCGGATCGAAATTTAGCGAACCAGTTCTGGCACTGGCGTACTGTCAACACACCTTCTCCATACACATCAGTCAATTTCTTTCTGGCTTGAACAGCATTTTTACCCTTTCTGTAGTAAAACAGTAAGATATGTCGAAAATGCTGCTTATCGCTCTCCATATTTAAAAGGGCACCAACCAAAAACTACTGCGTAGAATTAATTGGAATTTTTCACACACAAGCCTTGCTATATGAGCTCTCAAAGCATATAAAAATTATACGGCTTAAATGTGAAGTTGGGTGCAAAAGAATACAATTAAATCCTCTGTCGGGAAAAAACGAAATGACTTTCCGAACCACCCTATAGAACAACCCACACTTTAAGTATTTGTGAACAGTAATCTAATCTAGGTCTGCCTCTACCCCTCCTAACTCCCGTTTCTGCCTCTTCTATGCCTCTGACCAGATCTTCATGCCTGAGAAGGTGTCCTACCAACCTATCTCGCCTATTTCTTATTGACATCAATAGAGTCCACTGTTTTCCTATTCTAACTAATATCTCTTCATTTCTAACCTTCTCTGTCCACGGTATCCTTATCATTCGCCTTTAACACCACATTTCGAACGCTTTTGACCTTCCATGTTTCGCACCCGTACAGCGTCGTGCTCCAAACACACTCCTTTAACAATCTTTTTGGAATTACTAAATTAATCCTTCGCGAGCACAGAAGTGACTTCTTTTTATTGAAGGCGACTCGACCCTGTGCTATCCTCTGCTTTATACCCCTACTGCTCCTTCCGTCCTGACTTATCTGACTATATCCTAGATACCTAAAATCAGCCACTTTTTCTAACCTTTCGTCTCCTATCTTTCCCTACTGTTTCTTCCCTTGCATACCAGTATTTTTGTTTTACTTTTGTTTATTTTCAAACAGTACTGTTTTGTTAATACCGCTTCCACTTTATTTAAAGCTATCTCTAACTCCTCCTTACTAGATGCTAATACTGCTACATCATCTGCAAATCTAAACATCTTTTGCCCCTACAGTCGTACTGATTTTAATGATATTGATTACGACTTCGATGTATAGATTAAAAAGTAGCGGTGACAACGTGCATCCCTGTCTGACTCCCTTCCTAATATTTACTTCTATACATTGCAGCCCCAGCTCTATAACAATCATTCAAACGAAAACGAGAACCCCAACAATTATAATGGATAGATATCTTTAAACCTACAGAAAACTGCGCTTGGATCTTTGTTTGATTTATTTAGACATAAAATGTCCGATAACAGTTTTCCAATTCCGATCTTTCAGTATCCCCATTCTTTGTCACAAAAGTATAATCCGAAGTCAAGCACTAATTAGTTGATAGATGTCATCAGCCCACAACTAAAGGTATAACAAAAGTTTCGATGACAATTTAGATCGTGGACCATCATAGTGCTGGGGAGAATTTCATCCCTGTTTTATCTTATCGTCACGAGCATGAAGACGGGGTAATTTTCGGTCCATTTGACGTGGGACGTCACCTAGAAACGACTTGGTCGAGATTCAACGATGCGTTCGAAGCTCGAACTTGGTTCGTCGAGTTGGGTGGTTGATGCGATGTGATTAAAGGCGGCTTTGACAGGCGTCACCTACAGGATCACGGTTCGGCCGGTAATTAAGCGCGGGACCGGTGAAAACTGGGTCCGGCCCTGTCACACAGGTGCGAGTGAGACGAAGGAACACGAGGACGCGACTGTAATTTAGGAAATTACTCTACTTCCAAAATGAACTTTCGTTCAGATCCTTAAATTGATATATCACGATTGCAATTTAAAACAGTGTTTAACTGTTCGCAACTCTATTAAAAGTTTTTTGGAGAAACAAGCGACGTTAACGAGCACTGCTGCCTGAATACGGACCCGCTGTGTGGAACGGGGCACAAACGTCAAATCTTCTTCTTCTTCTTCGTCGTCGTCGTCGTATCCCTAGCGTTAGTAGCCGTCATCGTCGAATTTTCCCCCGGTTTTTCTCCTTTTTCGTTTTTGCTTTCGGATATTAATAAGGCATTTTCCAGTTTTTCCGTCGCGTCGTTACGTCCCAGAAAATGAGCGCTTGACTTCTAACAACTCCAATTTACTAAATCAAAACGTTCCGCACTCATATTTCAAATTTCATTAAATTGGTCCGTTCAAAACCTTTGCTTCTCTTCACGCTACGATACAAATAAGCAATCGATGAAAGAAATAAAGAAGTTTCCATCTCGACGCTTTTTATTTATTTATTTTTATATTGTTAGACCGCCCATCCCCTTTAAATCGTAAACAACAAAAATTCTAACGCAATTTTCATTGGTAACGATCAAGAGAAATGTGTTTTTCTCGTTTCGACCGTGCCAATAATCCAAATTAAAATAAAGTGCTCATTTATTGAAAAATGTCATACATTTACTTATAAAAAGGATCAAAGTGTGTACTCTTGACCTTATAGAACCATTAAAAATTGTTTTTACATGGCAACTCCTCAAAAAAAAGAATATAGATTGAGCTTTGGTCGGTAAACATGCCCCCTTCCGCCTCAAGAAAAAGAGAAAATACTTTAATAGTTGTCAATACTAATGTAAAAATTAATTTTTTACTTTTTTCATCCACTATTAATTACCTCAAGTTAATGACCCTAGACAAAAATGTTTAGTCTCTCTCCAGCGTCTCAGAGTCTTTCAAAGTCTTTCAGCGTCTCTGAGAGCGTCTCTCACAGTCTTTCAATCTCTCAGTTATTGCTTAGATGTTTTTATGGATCTCTCACAGACTCTGTATGAGAGACTCGAATAATAAAATTGCTAATTCAGAGATTCGAGTCTCTCATAGAGAGACTGAATAAATAAAGCTGAAAAATTGAGAGACTCGAGTCTCTCGTAGAAAGACTGGGATCTCTGAAATATGTTGAACATAGAAAACTTTAACCATGTCTATCGAGACACCACTTATTGAGAGATTCGAGTCTCTCTTTCAGATATTCGAGTCTCTCGTTCAGAGATTCGCGTCTCTCGTTCAGAGACTGGATACGAAATGAGGATCTCTCCATGAACTCGATGAGAGACGGAGACTCGAGTCTCGCTTTCACAGACTGAACATTTTTATCTCGGGGAGACAATGAGGAAAAATTTGTTGCTAATGTCACATCCTCGCCGTAATCGGGAGTATTAGTACGTAAAGCCAAAGGTTCCAGGTTCGATTTCGGGCGAGGGTGTGACAATAGCTACAATTTTTTCCTCATTATCTCATTAACTTGAGATACTTAATTGTGGATAGAAAAAAGTAAAAAATTAATTTTCACAAAAAAAGAGAAAACTCAACAAGCAATTCCATCGTCTACATAGTGATGAGCAAAATTGGTCTTCGTCTTGTAGTTTTGTTCTCGCATTTTCGTAAGACCAAGACTGTCTTTATACTAGCAAGACCAAGACCAAGACCAAGACCGAACAAACAAGACCAAGACTAAAACCAAGATCGAATATGGAAGACTATACGAAAAATTATTACTTCCGATGGATTTATGAGTTTTATCATTCTTTTCTTGAAACAAAACATTTTTAGTATTTGAAATTTTCATTTTGCTTTATTAGATTTTAAAACTTAACATAAAAAGAATAAAAAAAGGAAAAGGGATCTACAAGAATATCCTTGGAGTAAGTGTTCTTAGGTCTGGAAAATACATGGTTGAAATATAGAGATAAACTAGTTTTTTTTTTCGATATTTTTTACGACTTTCAAGTACTTTGTACCATTTTGTTCGCAAAAAAGGTCAATTTATTATTGAGGAAGCGTC